CTCCAGCCGGGCCAGGGGACGAGGAGCCAAGCGCACCTGGACTTCCAGAGAGAGCACCGTCGGCGGGAAGCCCTTCTAGAGGGCGCGGGAAGCCAGCGCGGACACCTCGACCCCATCGTAGGAGGCTTGAACGTCCAGGAGGGCCTGCCCGCGAGGCAGGCGCAGCAAGGGCTGCGCCTCGTCCTCGACGGCCCTGGCGAACGCCTCCCTCAGGGGCGCCGTTGCCCGCGATGGCGTCGGCCCGGTCGTCGCCCAGGCCCGAGGCCCAGTCGCGCGCGAGATCCCTGGCCGCGGCCCAGGCGCGGCAGAAAAGTGGCAGGGGCCCACTGTCCGAATCCCAGAAACATTGCTTTTTGAATTCAAAGAAATCAAAACCAAAATTTGTAATTCAATTGTTTTTGACTTCGCAAGCTTTTTATATACAAAATCATGACGGTCGGGCGCCCCGTCGCGCGCGCGGCCTGCCGCGGCCGTGCGAGGCCCCCCTCGGCCGCGCGGCAGAGGTCGCGCAGCTCGCGGGCGCCCGCGTCGGGGAGGCGGCCGAGGGGGGGCGGGCGGAGCCCGCGGGCGACGGACGGTCGACGCCTTTTTGTTTGGAATCCCAAGAGCTGGCTTATGAATTCGTTTACTGGAATTCACGAAATGGATTTCTCGGCGGTGGACAAACCTCCCTTCAGCAAACCTCCCCCTGGCGACAACGGCCTGGGACCGAAACCGACGGACCTGGACCCGCGCAAATGACGGCCGCGACGCCCCCTCGCAAACCGAAAACGGCGAATTCCTCGATCGACGCGTGAGGGCCGGAGGTCTATCCACCTGCGAATTTCTTGAGTTCAACAACCATTTTTTGTTGATTCTAAACGATCCAGAGCCCGCCCGCGCCTTCGCCCCGGAGAGCGCGCCCCTGACTGCATGCGCAGCGGGCAGCTCCAGCAGCTCGACCTCGGCGAGCGCGCGGAGGACCGTCTCGCTCGTTGCGCCCCTGGGACGCTCGCGGGGCTGCCGCAGCTCAGCCTTCCCGTCGATTATGCCCACTGGGCGCGCCGAGCTCGAGCCCTTGACGCGGCGCGCATCCCGCTCGGGCCCGAGGCCCTCGATGGACCTGTGCACGGCGCCAGCGGGCGAACGAAACCACTCTTGAAAGCGGCGCAGAGAGCTCGGGGAAGCCTCGCCCCACGCGCGGCTCGCAGGCCGGGCGGCGACCCCCTCGAGAGACGCATGCGCAACTAGTGTCAGATCGAGCAACCCGCGCAGCGTAGTGGACCGCGCCAACGTCGGACCTCCAGCGAACGAAGCACCCGCCCCATGAAGGGGGCGGTCCGCCAAGCGCCGCGCGGGGCGACTGAGATGTTGCAGTTGGAAGGCGCCGCTTCGCCGCCGACGGCCCCGCGCCGCTCGCCCATTGCGAAGCGGTGCGGACTCGGGCCCGCCGCGAGGCAACTCCGTCGCGAAGTGGCTACTGTCTGCGATCTGCTTGCTTCGCCGGGGCCACCGCCACTTCAACTCCGGCACCTCGTGACCGAAGAGAAGGGGCCAGCCCTCGATGCGCTGAAATCGCGCGCTCGCCGGCCCCGGCCCAGCGGGCGAAGCAGCTGCTGACTAGTAGCGAACGCGAGCGACTCTCTGACGGGCTGCCGAACGCGACGCAGCGAGTGCGAGCGCCAAGATGGCTGAGCAGCAAGTAACGCCCACGGAGAAGAGGGTAGAGCGACGGCGGGGAGGGCAGCGTCAGCGCCGGCGGCGGAGCAGGCGATTTCATCCTGATCCCCTGCCGCGCTGATGCCCGAGCCCCTTGGGCGCTCGACCGCGGCGGACAGGCCATCCCCGACCCAGCGTCAGCAGCGCCCTCTCTCGGAGTGGGTCTCGAATAATTTTCACCTGCGACGCCGAGACTGCCTGCCAGAAATGGCCCCATCGATTGCGACGCTGGCTGGGTGATAGCAGGGCTGCGAAGCCAACGGCCCCTCCTCCCCGACCTCCTTGACAACCCGAGGGTGACATTCCCCGTCGCGAAGGCCAACGCCGAAGTCGAGCCCGCCCCACGGGTCTGGAGGTTCGGGGGCCTCGGGCCCCATGGGAACAGGAATCGCGGAGCCCCCAGACGTGTCGCCAGCAAACCAATCCGAAACAAGGTTGGTCGCGCTCTGTGCGTGCGCTCCTGAGCCATGGCGGCTCGCTCCTGCTGCCGCGCCCGAGCCACGCTGGCCTTGCACCTCCCGGCGGGGCAGGTGGGCGCCCGAGGGGCCCGGGGGAGGCGCGGGGCAGTGATGGGGGGAGCGAGAGCGCAACTGCTCGCCAACACAGCGCAGCCGAAGTCCGAGGGCGCAGCGCGGGCTCCACGGCGCCTCTGTTTTGGCTGGCACGCCGCGAATGTAATGAAGAGCGCTTTCGGGCGCCATCAAGACGACGCAATTTGAGCTACATGCGCCCCCGACGCATGCGACGCGCATTCTATATCGGCTTGACGGACGTGGCCTTCCACTCTTCTCGCGCATGCAGATCGACGGAACAGCGTGACATCACAATTAAAGTCACCTGGAGCTACGCACGGAAGCTGGGCCGACTGCAACAATGCACTGCGACGCGCATGCCTCCGAGCGTCGGCCCCAGACAGAGAAGCCGAGCGAGGGTGTGCCTTGCATATGCATAACAGCGGACATAATTCAATCGAATGAGTTCGACCCGTTGGCACAGAAACCGGCGGCTTCAGATGTCTTGCCGAAAAGCCTGTGGCCGCTGCGGTGGTCTGGAGCCAGAAGAACTTCCCCACCTTCGTTGGCCCCGGCGGGGTCCGTGGTCCCATTGCCAGTGCTCCGAGCTACACGTCCACTTCATCGGTCGAGACTTCTTCGCCCACTGCGTCAGAGAGTGGCCCCAGTGCGTGAGTCTCGACCACCCCTACGAGGTCGCGCTGGCTCAAGAGCACTTTGCACCCGACGTGGCTCCTCGATTCGGTGCCTAACTAAGCCTGTGACGCTACTGAAGAGCATGGTGAAAACGTCCAAGTCCTATGGGGTCTCGGCTGAACTATCTGCTCCATGCGGCACAGCACCTGCAGCGGCATCATACTCCCGCTGACGCCATCGGCGCGTCCCTGTCTCGACCGAGGGCGCCGGCGCCACCCCGGCGGGAGATGGCAACCATTTGCCCATGGCAGCGGCGCCGCCTGTGCCCGCGACGAGGGCGCCATCGCTTCCTGCCGCCTGCGGTGCCTGCGCCGCCGCCACCGCCGCCTCGCCAGCAGCGCGCGCCTTGCTGATGTATTCCATCTCCGCCTGGACGTCGCCCTCGGATGGCCCTGGCTGCGCCGCCTGCTGCGCCGAGGCCATGCCTGAAGCCGTCGTCGTCGCCGCGCCGCCGCCAGCGCCACCCTGCCCGACGTCGTCAATCGTTGTCAATGGCGATGAGGTCAGCCTCGAATCTGCGAAGCGTTTATTTCTCTGACTAGTCGCACTCCACCTCGTCCAACTTCGCCAAACAAAAATCCGCGTCCCAAGTGAAGTCTACAACCTCCGCCTGAGTCTGGTTGCTTCCGCTGCCGCCGTCGCCCGCGTTGATGCCGAGCTCCTGCGACAGCGCCTTGGCCGCCGTCCTCCTGTTGATCTCTGCCGTCGCCAGCACCCACAGCGTCTCCGCCTCCATGGCGAGGAAGCGCTCCAAGTTCTCTGGGCAGCGTGTCCCGTGGCTCGTCGGCTGCTCGTAGCGGAAGTCGTGAAGGGGAGCTGGGGCACACAAATAAATTGACAACAAATAACCATATTCCCCATAGTTTCCTATATGTTCTGGGTTCCCGTCTTCCCTCCCACTTCAATTTCTTCCTACATTTTCTAAAGAAACGACGATAATTTGTGCCTGTGTGTGTGTGTGTTTTTTCCCCTCCTGAAGTAGGCGTCCTTCCAGGCGCCCCCCGCCCCCCTCACTGCCTCAGCAGACAGCGCCCACGCTGCGGAGAGGCAGGCGGCTCGAGCGTCTGCTCAAAATGCTGCGCCTGCTGTTGCAAAGCTTAAGTCGGGCCTGTCCCCCTACAGGCCGATTTTGGACGAAATCTTAGAAAGACCCCAAGAATGCCCTAAAGATGCACAACAAAGGTCAATCATAGTCCCCAAACTTTTTTACTATTTTTGAATATCCCGCCTCTAGAGGGACAGGCCTGACTTAATGCAAAGCCCCTCTTCGCCTCGGGATTCTTCACCATGTCGATGGCCAGCGCCAGCAGGCTCGAGACCGTGTGACGTGTCTGCACGGCGCCCTTGAGCTTGAGCTGCGGCTGGTCGTCCCTGTCTTTTCGAGGCCTGTGAAGCTTCACTGGTAGATTACACCTGCGGCGCCTCATCTGTGACTTTGTGGGCACATCGTTGTACTCGCACGTGTTACAAGCTTTGCATATAGACCACTGGCGCGAAATGGCTTCGCCAACGGGACTGATCACATAACTATGGTGAAAACAACCCGCTGCCCCTCAAGCTCTGCGTGGAAGAGAGAGGCCTTGGGACAAAACACAATGATGCGCTCGAGCCAATATGTGTTTGAGCGCCGCCCCCAAGGGGAGAAGAGGAGGATGAGGAATCGGAGCCGAGGCGCGACGCGCGAATCACGAGAACTTCGCACTCTCGAGGGCGCCCTTGCATGCTGGCCGATTCTGGGCCACTGGCAGAGTTCAACCTTGGATGCCCGCGACGGGGTCGCCGCCACGTCGGCAAGGCGCGAACCCGCCGTAGACCTTCTCCTCTGATCGGGCGCTTTCATGGACTCACCCGTGCTCCTCCCCAGAGCCCCGACGCTGAGATTTTGTCACGACGTGGGCCCTGGAAATCCCGGCAACTTCCCCAAGGGCGGGAGGAGAGGGAGGAGGAGGAGGAGAAGGAGGAGGAGGAAGACGAGGAGGAGGAGGCAGAAGGGCAGGAGGAACAGGAGGAGGAGGAACAGGAGGAGGAACAGGAGGAGGAGGAGGAGGAGGAGGGCGAGCGGCAGGAGAAGCCAATGCCCCCAGCGGCGAGCTCCTGCTTCCGGACCTCCCCGTGCCCCGTGCCCGGGCCGGCCGCCGCCACGACCAGGGCGGGCGGCTCCGGGGCGCGGACCAGGCTGACCTGCGCCTGGGGCACCCTGCGGGCGGCGGGCGCAGCGGTGGGGCAGTTTGATGGGCTCGTCTTCCACCACCACGACCCTAGGTCGGACGGGGGAGAAAGGAGGATGGGGAGGCCCTCCTCCTCCTCCTCCTCCTGCTCCTCCTCCTTCTCTTCTTCCTCCTCCTCCTCCTCCTCCTGTTCCTCATCCTCCTCCTCCTCCTCCTCCTCCTCCCTGTCCTCCTCCTCATCCTCCTCCTCCTCTTCCTCCTCCTCCTCCTATGCCTCTCCTCCTCTCCTCCTCCTCCTCCTCCTCCCTGTTCCTCCTCCTGTCCTCCTCCTCCTCCTCCTCCTCCTCCTGCCTGTCCCCCTCCTCCTCCTCCTCCTCCCCCTCCCCCTCCTCCTTCTCTCTCATACCTATGGTAGTGGTGGTGGAAAATCGGCCCATCACAGCTGTTGGCGGCGCCCACGAAACTCAGGCGTGGGGGCTCAGGCTGTCGGGAGGCTCCGCCGGTTCTCGCCGGCTTTCCGGCCTCGGGATGCCTTCCAGCGCCTGCGCCTCGCAGGGAGAACTCTGGGGGTGCCGGGATCGTCCCGAACGGCCGCCAGAGAGCCGAATGATGGCCCGAAGACCAGACAGGTTCGCGTCGTGGCAAACATCATGCCGGGCGGTTTCTGACCACCTTCGGCCTCTGGCGCCCCTCGACGGGCCCCCGGGCCGTGAGGGAACGCCTCGGGGCGGCAAGCCTGTCCCAAGGAATGGGTCGAGACCTCTGGACGTTGACGCTGTGACAGAAATCATGACGCAGGGGGCATGAGCTATTGGCATTGGACGCCCGACATGGGTACGGAAGAGATGGGTCCGATGCCCAACACCAAGTGTCATCTCAAATCGACAACGACCGCTGTTGGGCAAGCGGCCCTCGGTCTCACGTGGAGAACGTCCGCGTCGACACCGAGAGCGAGCCCTCTTCAAAAGGAACAGGATATGATGTCGGTCTTTCGGGGGGACCCAAAGGCACCGATACTGCTACTCCCCAGACCTCTCCCGGGGTGCGTTCTGACCTGAGTGGCGAAGCGCATCCAGCGGCGGCGACAAGGGACTCCTAGAAGGCCCCAGAAAGGGAACACAGGGGACACAGATAGCGGTAGGGGCACCTTTCCCTCCTCAGATCTCTGTGCCCGTTTCTGTCAGTACCCGATTCGATCGTGCCGATTGGCGGCGCTGGCAGGGGCGTGGCACGCGGGGAGCGGCCGGGAGCCCCCGAGAAGGCCGAGGGGGTCGTTGGAGAGACCCTCCCGGCTTCTCGGGAGGTCTTCTTGGGGGCACCAGGGAGGGCGGGTGCGGGGCAGGGATGTATCCGGCAGGGATCGGCCCAAACAGTGTTCGTCGTCTTCGTCGTGTTGTCGTTTTCCAGCGCCTGTGCTCGATCCTGAGAAGCCCCAGGGTGGGCGGGTGCAAAGCAGGGATCTATTCTATCCAGCAGGGATCAACCTAAACAGTGCTTTCCGTTTTTGATTCGTTTTCGTTGTCCCTCGTTTTGGTCTCACTCCTGCGAAGCCCCAGGGTGGACGGGTACAAACCAGGGATCTATCCAGCAGGGGTCGACCCAACCAGCGTTTGTCGTGTTCGCTTAGTTCATACCTTTTGTCCTTCGCTCTGTGCTCAATCTGCCTTTGCCGGGACACGAACTGGGACGAGATCAGAACGAGGACGCCCCACAAAATCGCCCACACACAATGCAGGTCGAGCCCTGCTATCCAGCACCTCCGCCTGGGGGATCCGTCTTTGGAGACGCCAGCGGGCCCCCCGAGTCGCTCTGTATTCGGAACCACTGCTTCGGGGAGGACCGCTCCTACAATGGGCATGGGCATCTCCCCCCCCCGATGATCGGGAGCAGCCAAGGAGGGGGGTGTCCAAGAGGAGGGGGGTGCAAATCATGACCGGCGGCATGTGCGCGGCCCAGCGGGGGGGCCAGGGACGTAATGAAATAAGAAGAGGCGCCATGAAATCTGGGGGAATATCATGGCCCCCGCCATGATATCGACCCCCCCCCCATAGTCATCACCCCCCTCCTTGCCGCCCCCGAGATGAGCTTAGCACATCCATATCCACCGTCTGCCGATGTCCCCAAAGATCGGTCCCACAGGTGGTGGTTGTGGATGGACCGCCGGCTCGGAGCTGGGGAGGGTCAAATAGGCGTGCGGGTCCCAGGGTCCGTCAGCATCCAACATCGGCAATGCGGATGACTTCGGGACGTGCGCCAGATCGGGCCGCATTGGCACGGAGTCGAAATCGAAACAGACAAGCAGCGCCAGGATCCACGACAACGCCATGTAAGTTTCGGGCCGCAATGGACCAGCAGAGTATCATAATCGAATCGGATCAGGCTGGACGGCATTCATATCGTATCGGATCGACAGGATCGAAATGGGGCTAGACACCACCCCTTCCTTCCTCCCCCCTCCCCCAGCGGCAGGGCCCGCATGCCGCCGCCCCGCCCATGACGGCACGCCGCTCACACGGCTCGTGGCCCCACGAGGTCGCCAGCGGCAGGGTCCACCTGCCGCGGGTACACGAGCGGGTTGGATTCTGACGGGTGGCGGGCGGGCGGGCGTGACATCAAAGCGGGCGGGCGGCTGAGACACTGAATGTGAACTTCGCTCGTCGGTGTCAGCGTCGTCAGCGCTGTCCTGATCGTCAGCAGCGTCACCACCTCGACATTGTCGTCGGCAACGTCGTCGTCGTCGTCGTCGTCAACATCGCCGTCGCCGTGTTCGTCGTTTGTTGTCGTCGTCCTCGTCGTCGTCGCTACCACCGCGTAAAATGGGAGGAGCTCGAAGGGTGCCGGGTACTTTGCTGGGGGGAAGGGTGTCGGTTACAACCCCCCCGCCCCCTCGAGCGCTCACAGAGGACGCGCTTCAATTCTAGCTACGTGGGGTGCGGGAGAGTACCGCATTTTGGCACGTGCGCACACGTCGACCGGCGTGCTGCCAAGCCTTGCCCTCTCACCTTGGGCACAACCCTGGCCGAGCCGTCTTGGCGTCTCGTGCTGACACCCCGTCATTGTTGTGTGTGTGCCTGCTGTGCCGGCGCGCCTCCCACGAACGGTGGAAGCAGGGGCCAACACTCCGAATCACACCAAGCCCTGCCACTTGCAGCCGCTCCCTTGACTGGCCCCGAAATCTTTGGCGAGGGCCACACCACTTCAACCATACCCCTGCCTGGGCCACCCTGGATACGCGGCAAACAACATCGTCGAGCACGCCTGGAGTTGCCAGAGCAGAATGCGAAGGGCGATCAGGAACGGAACGGGGACGGGGCGGTGACCATCCCGAGCATTGGTTCCCGAGTGGCGGCGCCGTGCTGCGCCTGCTGAACACAAAAGCATGGAAGGATCTGCGCGTTGCCGCAGCATGGGGTCACCTGCGACCTCGCCAGGGGGAGACCTCTGGCCCAGAGCAGGGCAGCCTGAAACGGGAAGCCAAACGGCAGGGTGAGCAGGGGGAGAGAAGGAGCAGGGGGAAGAGTAAGGGAGACCAACTCGCGTGCGCTTCGCCCGAGTAGGGATTGCGCGCGCTTGGTACTGGCCTCCTCTTCCTCCTCGTCCTCCTCTTCTTCTTCCTCCTCCTTCTCCTTCCCTTCTCCATTTTCTTGTCCGCCCTCCTTCTCCCCCTCGCCCCCGTCCCTCCCCTGTCAGAGGAAGTCCGCCGGTCCCCTTGTGGGGCCATCAGGTTTCCCCAGCTTCTAATCTCCAGCGTTATGATTATGTTCTCTGCTTCCTGCTGGAAGTTGCTACGGACCGCGCGGAAGGGTTAACCGAACATCAGCATTTTACTACCCCGAAGAGCGTTGCCTGTATATCTGGTGGAAATGGGAGACTTGGAAACTTGAAACATACGTGAGATTCGCGCCCCCGAACAATTAGTCCGTTCTAAATAACACCAGGTTCACGTTCCCGAGCCAAGACCCCATAGCGCATCGCACGAAATTCGCGCTAACGAGTCCAGAATCCCTGCTCCGCCAACCCTTCGGCGTGTGTGAGACGCTGTCGCCGTATTCGTCGTCGTCGTCGTCATCATCATTACCATCGTCGTCACCAGTCCCAAGGACAATTTTTAAAAACGAACAGAGAAAACAAACGTCGGAAGTCAATCGATTCCTTCACATTTTCCCCTCCCTGACGGGGGGGAGGGGGGGAAGGGTAGGGGAGCAGGGGTAAGTAGGGTGGAGGGCCTGGGTCAGATTGCCGTCTCCCTTTCCCAGTAGGAAGGACAGGGGGGGGGAGCCGTGCGGGGCGGGGCCCTGGAGGGCGTCCCAAGGGGAGGCCTTGTCGCCTGTGGTGGGAGGAGCTGGCCCCGGGTCAGCATACGGCCCCCCGCTGGGGTCCGGCCGGGCCCCGGGGGGGGCAGCGGCAGCGGGGGTCCCCGGAGCCCCTCGGGTCCCAGGGTCGGCGGCGCAGGCCGCAAGGCCTTCACAATCCGCCGACCCCCGCTTGCCGAGGGTGGAGATGGCGTGTGAGACATCTGGCTGTCTCCTTCCACCTTTCCCCTTTCCCCTGGGGTCCAACATGCCACTCTAAGGGGGGGGGAGGGGGGGACGAGCTCGTCGACGCACCCCCGGGGCCTCCGCAGCCTCCAGAAAGCCCCAAGGCAGCCCAGCAGGGCCCCGCAGACAGAGCGCCAAGACAGTCGAAGAGAGCGTCATGATGGCCCAGGGTAGCCCCACGACGGTCCAAGATGGCTTCAAGATGGCCCACGAGGCCCCCAAGACAGCCCCAAAGCGCCTCCAGAGGATGGCCGAGAGGGCCCCAAGAGGCCCAAATCATCCGATTCCCTCAGCACACCGTCAGCACATAACCTGATTCCCTCAGCAAGTGGTCCCTCATCCCAAAAAAAGAAGACGTACATTTTCAGCACATTCGCGTTTGACGTTTTGAGAGCGAACACGAGGGCCCAAGAAGTCCTAACGATCGTCCCAAGACGGCCCATGACTACTCTAAGAAGGCCTCACGACGGCCCAAAGACAGCCCCAGGGGCCCCGCCCCCCAAAGACGGCCCACGACAGCCCCTGGAGGGCCCCAAGAGGGCTCCAAGAAAGCCCAAGAGGGGGAATACGAACTGATATTTGGAGCCGTTCCACAATCGTCTAAAGCACTTACTCATTGTGGAGGTCGGCGGAATGGCGTAAGCCACTTAATGAATTGCACGAGATTCGCAATCCCGAAATCAAAATCACTTGCACATTGCGCCAGCTTCGCGCTTTCGAAACAAGAATCCTTATACAATTACGCCCGATTCGCGCTCTCCAGGCCAGAATCTACAGTAAGCTACGCCATACTCGCGCTCCCGAAACCATCTCCGTAAGTAACTCCAAATTCTTGCGACCGAGGTCAGAATTCTTAGTAAGTTACGCCAGGCTCGCGCTCCCGACACCAGATTCTCTCGTAAAGTACACCCGATTAGTGCGGGAAGGGCTCCAAATATGCAACACACAATCTCTATGGAAAGCCGCAACAGCTGTCCTCGCTGATTCCTATGCGTCCCCGCATGGTTTCCCATATGTACTCAAGACGGCGCCCAAACATCCCGGCACGGCTGTGATATCTTACATGTTGATAGAGAAGGGGCCGGAAGCATGGGGCGACCCTTGTGGAGTATTGCTGTAGGAAGCGACGCCGCCATAGCCGGACCCTACAAGACCCCTCATGGTACCCCACAGGAACCCTACAAAACCCCTCTGATAGAAAAGGGATGCGCGGCATGGGGCGAAGCCCTTACGGATAACTGGTGCATAAGGCGACGCCAACGTAGTCGGAGAACCCACGGCGCATGCAATCACGCTCGTGTACCATAACGCGCTCGCTATGGGTTGGCTATGAGTTTCCTTGTGCCATCGTATGGTGTGTTTGCGCACTCGCTGTGCTGCGGGTCAAGATATGCACCATTGCTGCTTTGTTGACGGATTTGATGCCTACACGTACGTGGGGCATCGTTAAACGAACACTGCAAGATCCGTCCCTAACTACCTCTGCTTAATCACCCAGTGCCGCCTGAAGTCAGGGTGAAAGCCGCGAGCATGAATTGCTCTCACCTTTTCCCCTGAGGATCTCGTCGTGGCCCCGCGGGATGATTGCCTCCTGTGGAAAAGGCTGGACAGGGCTGAATCGGAGCAAGCACGCTAATGCACAAGACCAGCTACAGGCCAGGAGTACGAATGGTGAAACTTCGGAGAAGCAGCAGAAACCAGCGCCCTGCCGCTGGCACAGACAATTCCAGGGAGCCCATCGAGCGAGGACAGAGGGGGCAATGCGACACACGCCACGCGGTTATCAATGTGCTGGTTGGACTGAGCTACCATGAGAAGCCCACCGTGCGAACAGTTGTCGGAGGCCCTCCTATGCACATGTAGGCCAATGCGCAAGTAATGCCCAACTCCGTCGACCTCCCCGCCCCATCTCTACGCCAGCGCGGCGCGCTACGAATGGGTCGATTAGCGCGGCGGACGCAACACCAATTCTAGACGTTGGTCGCAGAAATCTCCGCCTGCACCCTGTCACCCTCTCTCAACTCCCCCCAGGCTCCTTCTCCCAACTAGTGCAGTAAGGGAGAGAGGGGGCGTGCAAAGAAGAGCGGAGGGAAGACGGGAAGCAGCGGACGAGAATGGGGCACGGGCGCAGGATGAGGACGAGGAGAACAGGACCGTTGACTGGAGCCTCGGAGCCAGGTCCACATGCCCATCAGCGCAGTGGTTTTTGAAGACAGAAGATCGCCGAAGGAGGATACTGGGGAGGAAGAGGTGGGATGTGTGGCAGAGCAACGGGAGGATGGCGAGGGGAGCAAGATGGATGACAGGAGGTGGAAAAAGCGATGATGATGTTGACCATGGGGCACAGGGGCATGATGATGATGATGCTGCTGATGATGATGATGATGATGATGGTGATGATGATGCTGATGATGATGATGATGATGATGATAAAGACGGCGATGCTGCTGACGATGAGGCTGATAATGATAGTGGTGATGCAAATGATGCTGATGATGGCAATCACGATACTGATGCTGACACTGCTGACGATGTTGAATATGCTGATGATGGCTGATGGTGACGACGATGACGGATGATGATGATGGTGATGATGATGACGATCATGCTGTCGACGATGATGATGATGATGATGCTGATGCTGATGATGATGGTGACTCTGGTGATTATACGGATCATAATGCTGATGCTGATGCTGATCATGTTGGCGATGATGAAGATGTTGATGATGCTGCTGATGATGATGATGGAGATGGTGCTGCTGCTGTTGGTGATGATGGTGTTGATGGTGTTGATGATGTTGGTGATGCTGATGTTGTTGTTGATGATGATGATGATGATGCTGATGATGATGATGATGATGATGATGATGATGATGATGAGGGTGGTGGTCGTGGTGGTGATGCTGCTTTGCTGCTGCTGATGATGCAGATGGCGAGGACCACTGGGATCATGATGAGAAAAGGGAGAAGGAGCAGGCGAGGGAGTGATGAAGGGGCAGTGTGATTGGGGGATGGGGGCCATGAGGAAGGAACGAGGGGACCTCGAGGGGCGACGTAGCGCTTGCCAACAGATCCTGTCTAGTCGAAAAGGGTCTGGCCTGGTGGCTGCGAAGACAGCGCGCGACAGGATCGAGCATGAGAGGACGAGTGGGGGAGGAGGAGGAGGAGGAGGAGGAGGAGGAGGAGGAGGAGGAGGAGGAGGAGGAGGAGGAGGAGGGCGAGGGAAGTTCGACAGGATGGAGCAGGGGAGGAGGAGGAGGAGGAGGAGGAGGACGAGGGGAGGACGAGGAGGAGGAGGACGAGGACGAGGAGGGCGAGAATTTAACGCCCATAGAGGGGTGCGCCAATGGGGGATAGAGAGAGAGAGAGAGATTTATATAAAAAGCTCGAGAGAGAGAGGGAGAGAGAGTGAGGAAAGCTGGGGTGGGGGGCCCATCAGATGAGAACAGTTTGTCCCCGCCCGAGGCTTCGCCCCACCTCGGGCGGGTCAGGGGGAGGAGGGGGACGAGGAGGACGAGGACGGTGAGGAAGACCAGGAGGGTAAGCACCCTGAGACGGGCAAGCCATTCTAGGCTGAGTGTCTTTGGCCCCCGCCACCCCGTCGTCCTGTCGCCCGCCGTCCTCCGCCCTTCCCCCACTGCTGCTCGCCTCCTCGGCTGCACAGTGCTTGCCTCTGGCTTCAAGGCCAGGGCCCGTTCGGGAAGGTCAGCAGGGATCTCGTTCTCTCTCTCTCTCTCTCTCGCTCTCTCGCTCTCTTGTTTTTTCATCTCTCTCTCTCTCTCTCTTTTTCTGATCGACCCCCCTGTGCTCGCGGGAGTGCCCCAGCCCACTCTCCGAACAAGACCCAATCTGGGCGCCACTCGAAGCCTCCAGGAGGCGCATCGGCCTGCGTTCCTCGTCACCCTCCTCCTTGCCCCCTTCCTCATCAACAGTTTCACACTATGAATACCAGTCGGACATCGGCCAAACCAGCATCTTTCAAGAACATGAAGCCCCCCCGCCGGCCAAAACACACAGAACAGCCAAAGGTATCCCTCACAGGATGCACAAGAACAGCCAAAAAGCACGAAAAACATGTGGGTACCCTCCCCGACCCAACCTCGATCTTATACCACGGTCCGATTGTACTTCTCTCCTCTCCCCCCCGAAGATGATAAACAAGGGGCCCGCTCTCCTCCGGGTGCTGATTTGTACGCTTTCTCGTCACGCGTAGGATTCCAAAAGCTGGTCTTCAATACGGCTTCGCCTTCCAATCCGATTGTTTTCGGAATTTCAGAATGGTGCTCCCGCTGCAGCGTGGGACTCAATTTCGGATCGGCGCTGTGCTCCCACCACTCAGAATGGCGATCTCACCCCAGCGCGGGCCACTCTTCTGGATCCGAGTCCAGCTTCATAGTGGCTCCCCTGTCATCTCCATCCCTCCGCCTTCCCCTGGTCCCCCTGTTCCCCCCGCTCCTGCCACTCCAGTTCCTGCTGCTGCTGTCCGTTTCGCCGCAGCGAGGGCCACCGTTCTGACTCCGAATCTTTCTCCATCGTTGTCGCACCCCTCATTTCCCGTCATCCGCCTTCCCCTGGTCTTTTTTATGTTCCATCTTTCCACTTACTTCCTGCTGCTGCTGTTCGTCCTCATCCTTGTCCTCCAGCTCGTCCGCCTGCTCACCCGCCACCTCCTCCTCCTGCGCACGCAGTTCTACCTTTTTTCTCCGATTGCGCATGCCACGAAGTGGGATTTCAGTGGGAGTTCCTGGTCGGCTGTGACGCGCGTCCGCGGATAATGAATAATCAGCGCCATGGGAAGAGATGGTAGTAAGGAAGAGGATGACAGATTTGCGGCGGCTGCAAACAGCTTGTTTCTTTCTCATCTCCCTCCTTCTCCTCCTCCTCCTCCTCCTGCTCCTCCTCCCGCTCCTCCTCCTCCTGCTCCTCCTTCTCCTCCTCCTCCTCTTCTTCCTCTTCCTCCTCCTCCTATTCCTGCTCCTCTCCCCCTCCCCCTCCCGATGTTTGCCGCCCACGGCACCTCAAATGAGCTGCAGAAGGGGGGGCTGAAATCTGCAGTGGCCAACGAGACGGGCAGCACAGATCGCAGTGTGACTTCTCCGCAGGAGCCAGAACCCGTCGGCCACTGCAAACTGCGCCCCTGAGGCCCCCTTCGCGTGGCGCAACGCGCTCACGCGACCCGCGCAGTGACACGGCACCGCACGGCGGCACGGCGCAACGCGCCCGCGCCGAGCGCCGCCGCACGGCGCAATGCGCCGCACGGCTGCACGGGCTCTGCCGCGCAGGCGCACCACCGGCCTCACCCGAGTGGGCGGCGAGCGACGGATGGGGCCTGGGGACCCCGAGCTGGGGGGGGGGGGGCCCAGCAGTGGGAGGAGCCCAGGTCGCCAACCCCCGATCGCCCCCCCCCACGGGCGGGCAACCGCCTCCGCCAGTCCTCCGGCCTGGCCCCCGGCTCTATCGATACCCCGCCGGTACAGGCGGCGCCGACCGCCTCACCGGCTCCACCAGTGGGGGGTGCCCCGGCGATCCCCCAGTCGTAGACGGGGCCACTGATATCCAAGCAGGGGGGGTCCCCCTCCTCCTCCTCCCCCTCCTCCTCCTCCTCCTCCTCCTCCTCCTCCTCCTCCTCCTCCTCCTCCTCCTCCCCTCTCCCTCCTCCCCTCCCCTCTCCCCCTCCCCTCCCCTCCTCATCCCAACCCCCCCTCCACTTTGATCCTCCCCTCCCCCCGCGGAGCCGCCCCCGCCCGTCTGAGCACCCCGAGCCGCGGCTCCTCGGCTGCCCGCCTGGCGCCCCCGCCTGCTGCGGGCGCGCCCGGACAGCGCCTCGGACGCGGGAGGCCACGGACGCGCGCCGTGCGCCGACCGCCGACTCTCGGCGCGCAGCCAAGCCCGAAGTGCAAGGAACACGCTCGACGCGAGCGCATTACAGTCGATATCTATAGTAAGGACGGGCGGTAAGTACACAAGGGCCTTGGACGCCCAAATTGGCAATTTTTGGGCGGCGGACTGCCAACACCCTGAAGGCCGGTCACTGAAAACCGCAGAGGACGGGCCGAAGAGGCAAGGACGCAAGGGTACCCTGCGACATCCGCGCGTCCTGACTATGAGTTTTGACGTTATTCCCCACCCGACAGGTTGGGGTTGTTAGATTTCAAGAACGACAGGTCCCCAGGCCAACCCCACCCTGCATACCGCGGCCGCCAGACCCCAAATTGTCCTGGTGGTCCCGAATATCCCGCCTCGCGCACGGCCATCCCCACCCTGCATACCGCGGTCGCCCGACCCCAAATGTCCCGATGATCCCCGAGAGTCCCGGGTGTCCCGCCTCGCGCCCTCGACGAACACGACAGAACACAAAATGACAGAACAGAACATGACACAACGGGACAGAGCATGACAGAACATGACAGAACCTAACATATCAATATAATGATAAAAGAAAATATTCCAGAGCATCACATAGCATCACATAACATACCAGGGCAGAACGTGACAGAGCAGAATACGACAGGACACAACACAACATAACATAACCAACCGTACCATAACACACCTGAAACGAACATAATATTTCATGCCACAGCATCATGTAACATAATGTGTTACAACAGCAGAGCAGAACGACGTTGATCACGGCATAACACAACATGGCACAACATAACATGGCATACCAGATCACGAGTGTGACAGATCATACCAGAACAGAACATAGCAATTGTCACAGTACGGCACAGCATAACCCCGCATAGTGTAGCAAGACATACCATGACATAACAGAAAACGGCATACAACAGCATAAGACAACAGAGCCGAACATACCATAACACACCTTGCCCGAGCAGAACAGACCATGACACAGCATCACATAACATATCATAACACGACAGCAGAACATAGCGACGACGAACACGACAGAACTCAACATGGTACATCATAACATGACAGAGCAGAGCACGAGCACGACAGACCATGCCAGAACAAAACATAACGATGCCGTGACAAAATACGGCATAATAGAACATCACATAACATACCAAGACAGACCATGGCATAACGGAAGACGAAGAAACACGACATGACAGAACGGAACCAAACATAACAGAACACACCTGTCATCACACGACGGCGGACCTTTCCGACACATATTCGCAGAACAGACCAACATATACTATACAGAGCCGAGCCGTCAACAACCAGAACACCACATAACACACCAGAGCAGAACATGACAGACCAGAAGACGGTAGACCACAACATAACAGAACAGAGCTGAGCATAACATAACACATACTGACATAATACATCGTATCATGACACAGCATTGCGGAGACGATCATCACACGACAGCAGAGCATAGCGACGACGAAGACGACATACGACAACTTGACACAACATAGCATGACAGAAGAGAACACGGGCATGCCAAAACATGACAAAACATAACATAGCAATGTCATGACAACGCAAGGCATACCAGAACATCACAAAGCATACCAGAGTAGAACACGGCAGAACAGAAGACGGCAGAACACAACATAACAGACCATATCCGAGCATCCCATAACAAACCTTACCATAACATAGCAAATCATGGCACAATATCACAGAACAGATCATAATGCGCCAGCAGAGCATAACGGCACATACTAGCAACAAGTATCGCTATATACCATGCTGAGCCGAGTCGTCAACATACATCATATCGCATAAAATACCAGAGCACAACATGGCATTAAAGAAGAAGACGACATATCACGACATAACATAACATACTTCATCATATCATCACACGCCATGACATAACATATCGGGGTACATAATGTCACGGCAGCATCAAAGGATATATCATACTACGACAGCGGGGCATATCGCAACATACTAGCAGAGCGTATCATACTGTACCATAATGAACCGAGCTGCCAACAGCATCACGAAGCATACCATACTGGAACATAGCTTGGCAAAACAGATCATGTCATACCATCATACAACAGAGAAGCTCAGACCATAACGTCACATAGCATAGTGTGAAAGAGATGAGCATGCCAGAACAGACTCAATCAGAACAGAAAACTATAAGCGAAGAGACACATTATACCATACTGCGCATCTAACGTCACAAGCGTGACGTCACGCCGGCCCGTCGAGAAGAGAACAGGACATGATGGAGCAGAACATGAAACAACGTGACTACATGGAACTCGGTTGAATCGTTTTTGAATCCAGAAACGACATGTGTCGACCAATTAGGCGACCGTGCGCGGTCGACGCTTGAGGTTCCAGTGGGAATCGCTCGAAGCAAAATATTTGTTTTGTGTGCTTGTTGTGTGTTTCTGTTATTGTTTTCTGTTTTGGTTGTTGAGCAAACAAATGAATTGCATCCGCGTGCCCTGGGTTTACGAAAGGCTTTCTGAACAATACCGTTGTGAAAACTGTATTCCGTGAATGTCCGGCCTCCGACTCCAGCAGAATCCGGGGACATTCTCGGGTCAACTGCGCTCCATGCGCACAAAGGCGCACTTCCGCAGGCGCCCTGAAGTCCGATCACATGCGGCGCGAGCGCATTTGAGCACGCTCGTGAACCATAGCGCAATCCCGAAACTCAAAACCACTTCCTTCGCAAGTTGCGCCAGGTTCGCGCTCCCCAGGCCAGACTCTGTTGCAAATTACGCCCGACTTGTGTTCCCGACGCCAGATTCCTTTGTAAAGCGCACCAGATCCGCGCTCCCGAGGCAAGCATCCCTAACACGTCAAACCAGATTCGCGCTCCCGAAACCAGATTCTCTGATCATTGCACCCGTTTCGCGCGGAAAATGCACCAAACATGCAACAACGTGGTCCATACTAGTCCCAACATCTCACTCTGCTTTGCTGATTCCTATCCGTCCCGCATGATGTTCCCACGTGTCTTCAAGACGGCGTCCAGACATCCCGACACAGCTCTGATACATTGCATCTTGGTAGAGACAACAACATCAACAACAACTACAATACGTTCAACAATGTTCGCTCTGATTCACTCGCGCAGCAAATAGCATCCACTCCCCAAACTCTCGATACCCGCCCTCTTCGTCTTCGATCATACCGCGCTTGGGGGGCATCTGTTTCTGACCTGCGACGTGATCAGAAGGAAGACAGGACAGACAGATGAGGAGGACGACAGGGCAAACAGATAAGGAGGAGGACAGGACTGCGGGCAGGAGGGAAGAGGGGAAAGGAGAAAGGGAAGGGAGAACGATGGAGCACGAGAGAGATTAGTAGGGGATCGAACTCTATACACCGACGCTTGTTCTGGCCCTGCATTGGAATTTGCACTGGAGAGCGGATCTTGGTGCATACGGGACCCTGGTGTATACATTTTTCGGCGTTTCCCTGGGGCCTCGGGAAAGCAAGTATACACCACGCCACCCCAGCGCCGTCCTCGACCCTCAAGCAGTCCTGGGATGGAAGAACAGCCCGCCACTTGTGAAGGGGCACGCAAATAAATACACACAAATAAAAGGATTCCCCATATTTTCCAATATTTTCGGAGTTCTTGTCTCCCCCCCCCAATCCCCATATTTTCCTATATTTCCGTCGGAGTGGACGATTCATTGTGTCTGTGTGTGTGTGTTTTTCCCCTCCTGAGCTGGGTACTGTGGTCGTTCCAGCTTCCCGATCAGCAGGCGGCGGGTCGGGAGCAGGAGAGCACGCGGCAGAACCAGACGGGCGGGCCGGGCGGGCGGCCCCGAACGGGCGGACTGGGCGGGCGGGCCCGGACGGGCGGGCCGTGAGGGGCGGGTCGGCGGGCCGAGACGGGACTGTGTGAATCGCCGGGCAGTCTCCGAGCGAGGCAGTGAACCCGTATGGTAAGGATGCGCGGCAAGGATACACAGAGGCCTTGGAGGCCCATGTCGAAGCTTGTCGAGCGGGGCGCGGCCAACGACAGTGGCCGAGGATGGACCGGAGAGGCAAGGACGCATGGGTACCCTTGGGAAGGTTGCCCATCCTTACTGTGCGGGCTTGCTGTAGCGGGAGTGCCATGCAGATCGCGAGGAGCTCCAAAGCGAGCGAGAGGGTGATGGCTCGGTGTAGAAGGCGCGGCGCCTGGAGAATTGCCAGGACGTCTCACGCGCAGGCGCGACTCCGGCATACGATTAAGTCACGTGCGAGGGCGCGACCGTGAAGAACTTGTGAATAAACGAAAGGCGGGCGCCGCTGTTGTGGTTAATGCAGCGGCTAACGGCGAGCCTCGGGAGAGGCAATTCAATTGAAGAATTTGTTTGATTCGCGGGTCGAGAGCGCAACTCTTCCGGTCGAAGCTAAGCGGGCCGCGCAAAGCTTGAATTAGGCAGAGAAGGGGGGGGGGGGGGGGGAAAACCCCAATTGAAGCTACTTGACGCCTTCAATTGAGGGCAGAAGCTACTTGACGCCTTCAATTGAAGAGCACAATGGGCACAGGAGGGGGGGCCAACCAGGTCTATTTCTTCGAACTGGGAACTTATCGAACAACACAAACGCAGACGCTGGGCCACGGAATCCCCCTTCACCCACGCACCCAGGGACGGTGAGTGTCCGCTCGGCCCCCTTCACTCTGCAGTGTGCTCCGCTCGTGGGGGCGTGCGTCCGCACCGAACAGATATCACAAACATCATCTAACATATCGTTGCCCAGGCGATCTGCCCAGACGAGCCCCCTCACTCTGTAGTATGCACCGCTCGTTGGGGCGTGCGTCCGAACCGAACATGTATCACAAACATCATCTAACAGATCGCTGCCCAGGCGATATGCCCAGACGAGCCCCCTCACTCTGTAGTATGCACCGCTCGTTGGGGCGTGCGTCC